TCAAAACCAAAATAGAAATAATGGTGTATCACACTGGGTTTCCCCAGAAAACTGGCTGATATGTGTCACTAGGGTCGCTCACCAGTGTTCAGCCAGTGACTAAAACTAAGCTTTGTAATGTTGGTAAAGTTTACAGATATAATAATAAACAGAAATAAAGTGCAAAGAAGGAACCAACTACCTGATCACTTAAAGGCCAAGGCATTTAACCTGACCAGCTATTGCTTCACGCTTCAGCCTAAATATCGATGCAAAGACTTTATTAATTGACAAATATAGAACATTAAGCAATTTATATGTCATTTTAGTCTTATATCATTGATTGTTTGTTTGCTTTTTTTGTCAAATATTTTTGCATTTCAAGTGCAAATACACATTTTGTCTCTCTCTATCGTGCAGATAACCATTATCTTGGCTAAATGTTTTACAAGGAACTCAATGAAGAGTGAAGATCCTTAAATATTCTCCTTTTAACTTTTAAACCAAGACCATCTGTGCAAATCATTTTATCCTGTTCATATACATTAATATACAACATGTTCCATCTTTGAGATCTATCCACTAAACTTGGGATCATCTAACCGCTTTGAGTTGAATCCTCTTATTCAATGTTTAGAATCCTGTCTCTCACAAAGTACTAGCATCACTGCTGGACAGCTCCGCCTCATCTAGCTATGACTCAGCTAACGTTTATGAGACCGGCTTAGTCATGGTGCGCAACGGTTGGTCACCAGGGAAGCGAAAGAGGTCCATGTCTTCTTCAACTTCAGAAAAAGAAAATGTTTAACCATTTGTTAATGAAATGTTGTATTACTTTAAGAAGTTAGTGCCAACAGGTAGAAACAGGAAGCGGGTGATGAGGGGAAAAAGAACTGACATATGACCATATATTTGTACATGTATCAACCATATAGTGTCTCCATTGCACTTTTAACTAAGCCACCTTTTATGTTATAAAAATTTGTTTAAAGTATATAAATAAATTACGCTTACGGTGGCTTGGCAGGGTGGCAAGTAAAGCCCGGTGGCCCGCTAGGCTTATAATACAGTAGGGGAAACCTTGATGAGAAACTAAATGTTTGAATATGCAGTTATGATAATTAAAATAATGCATAAGCATTCCCACTTGATAATTGTTGCTCTTCTGTTTAAACAGAAAGCAAGTAGATCTTTTCTTGTTTGCATTTCTGTGACAAGGCTGTGAAACCAGAGCACTGCAGTGGGAATCTTATGGCCATGCCTGCCGTCTACCTGTGCTGTTCACTGCTGCAGTCTGTTAAACAAGAGCAAAGTAGGATACAGTGTCAACGAGTAAAGGCTTGAACACATAAAGGCGATTTGGCTTGAGGGAGTCCAGGTCTCCCACGCTGGCAGCAGCCACAGCAATCTTTTCCCATGCTACAAAATGTAACTCATAATCTGCAAGGTTCCTCTTCTTCACTCTCACTTCCATCACTGTGGTCAGACTTCCTTCATGCCTGCTGTTTGAGTAAATCCACAGAGGAGCTGAGGGCCAATCACCAATGCACCTGCATACGCTGACATATGTCAGATGTGACAGAACAGAGTTGTGTGCCTACTGACAGGCTCTTTCTGATGTTGTGATTAGAGAAGCCACTACTGACAGGTCTTCTGATTGTGTATGTGTTTCAGGCTTTTCATTATGCAGGATCTGACCCTGTCACTCTATTGGCTACCTTCAGCTGCTTACTCAACATTCATAAAGTACTTGAAAGATACTTTAGTGTCGTACAGAGTTAAAAAACAGCATGGGTAGTTGGAGCACAAGTGCGACTGAAAATAACAAGGAAAAAAATTATAAGAGCAACTGATGGGGAGGAAGAAAAGGGCAAGTGAAAGAAAGGCTGAAAAATTTATTCTGAAGGAAAAAATGATACCGAAAAGTAGCAAGATGGGAGGAAAGCAGACAAAGCTTGCAAGCGATGGTGAGAGAGAAATGGGGTAGAGGGATGGGAGGAAGAGGATGAATAGGGTAATAATGGCTCAGTGTGAGAGCTGCTGTGGAGAAAGAGAGAACGGCTGAGTGAAGAAGAGAACAAAATGAGGCTGAGGGCACTCAGACAGATAGAATTAGACACACCGCAGAGGTTCAGTGTGTGCGCGACAGAGCCAGAGAGTGTGTTTGTTTTTACGTGTTTCTGTGTGCTGTGATAACATGAGTGCAGGCAGCAGGATTTATAGGAGTGCAGTGCTTTTACCATGTGTGTGAATGAATGGCTCAAAGGGAGGACAATATGGTCGATTTTCTGAATATATTAATAATAATACTAGTTTTTTGCTGTTGTAATTAGCATTGCAATGATTTTTTTATTGTAAAGATTGTATTGGAGATTCCTAGTGAAAAAGGTTATCGGATCACCAAGCTCTTATTGTGCAGGTTATTCCTTTGAACAAATATAATAATAGTAATG